CCGCCACCCCCCCGATTTAACTCTCCAAATCCCCAGAATCGGAGTTCAGATCTCGGATGAGCAGAGTTGGAAAGGGACCTTGCAGGTCATCTAGTCCAGTGTTTCTCAACCTTGGCAACTTGGAAGATGGCCGGACCTCAACTCCCAGAATTCCCCAGCCAGCGAATGCTGGCTGGGGAATTCTGGGAGTTGAAGTCCGGACATCTTCAAGTTGCCAAGGTTGAGAAACACTGATCTAGTCCAACACCCACCCAAGCAGGAGAACTATCAAAATGGGTCATGCAGAGCAGTAAACATGGCAGTTTTTGTTTATTATACCCATATTAGGTGAAATAATAATAACCAATGCTACTAGGGGTTTCTCTAAAGGTAAACATAGCGCTTTATAATATAGTTTAATGAGGAAACTCAATGCCTCTTTAGGGGCATTTCACTTTTATGCATCTCGCCTAAGGACCTCAAATTTCTAAGCCTGCTTAAAGATTGTTTTTTTTTAATAGGCTAAACAGTAGATTTTATCAGGAGGTTACATTTGGGGGGGAAAAACCTTGCAAAGCCATTTGAATGCATTGTATTTTGAAACATCAGTTGCATTAAACTGGAGACTAAAAGCTTGCTGTTGTCACTATATTTCATAGGGGGTTGCATTGCAAGCATCTCAGAGGGATTGAGTCCTCTTATCTGAGTAGGCTACTGAAATCGGATCTATGACAATTCTCATTGGTTTCTATAGTAAAGGTAATTCAGTTGCAGTCCTTAGTACATACCTTCTGATTCAACAGAAACATAGGTGATCCCCTGGTTAAACAAACACAAGCATGTTATTTGGCTACTCACAAAATGAAAAGATATACTAAAAATAGAATAATGGCATTAAAATAGATCTAGATAAAATCAAAAGCAAGGAGAGTACAAAATTACTGACAAAAAATAAAAAGATGAAACTAATTTTTTAAAGACATGGAGCTGTATGCTCCATTCTCAGACATTTCTGCTTGTCCCATCTCAAAAATAGCATGATTTATAAAGATGCAAATTGGAACACCAAATGAGTGTGTATTAAAGGATCTTCCCTATGAAGAAAAAAAACTAAATGACAAGGTTTTTTTAGCTTAGAAAAAAGTCATTGAAAATATGATTAAACCAGATTACTGTAGATTACAGTATGTGTTTTGGAGAGTGAAACATTTTCCCCCTTTCCAAATCAGAACGAAGATTCTCAATAACAGGCAATTACATGCTATGCAAAAATATCTTCTCAGATATAATGCAGATTATTTTGCATGTGTGGTTATGGATTTTAACTTAAAGTTAAAATCTGTTGTGTCAAATTTAAAGTGAAAGACAAATCTATCAGCATTCAATTTGATGTTGAAATAGAACCAGTATCTTTGGGAAAGAGAGATCTCTCACTATCTGATGCTTGAGGGACAAGATGAAGTAATTCTGCTTGTGAATTTTTTAGAAGCATTTAGATAATTACTTTTGGAAATAACGTATTTGTTTAGATGCATCACTAATCAAGTGGGATTTTTGATATGTATTTTAGCATAGAAAAATGACAGGCGTGTTAGGGATTGTTAACGTCTAAACGTCTTCTTTTTCAGAAATGAGCTCCCCTGTGTTATATAGGTCTTGTTCAAAGAAAAACATAAAATAAGACTGAAGCCTGAAAGTTTCAAATGCGGATGTGCTATTATTTTCACAATGCTGTAGTAGTTTCTTGAAATTTAGACAAAATAAATCACTATGGCTACCTAGGAAAATGAATTATTCCAGAAGAAGCAAAACTAAAAGCTTTACAGGGAGGAAAAGGTGTATAGATTTTAATGCCATCTGCGACATAAACAAAATCAGGATGTGAATAGCACAAGGAAGAGAAACTCTGAAGTTGAGAAATTTGTCACTTAAAGAAGAGTTCAGTGTTATTTTATTTTCGATAGTTCCGTTAACTCCTGAGATAAAAGAAACTTTGCACGTAGCTAAAAGTATTAGATTCCTAACTTTTGTGCTTGGTTTTAGAAAAGATTTTAAAACTGAGCTGAATAGTTTCTTCAAAGAAATCATTCTGATAATTACAGTTCAGTTTAAAAAACGCAAGAGGAAAAAGAAGGTTTTGGCATTGCTTCCTACATGAAGCCTTTCATATAATTTCTTCTAAGTTGCAACTGCTGACTTACCAATACAAATTAAGTTTTTGCTAAGAAGAGCATGTACGTATCACTATAATAAGTTTCTCTTCAGTGCCCTCCCCATCACCTCCCCATCCCACCTCAACCCCAACATTTTTGGTTATTTCTAATTATTTAGATCTCTCTGTCTCCTCTTTTTATCTTAAGCTTGTGAAATTTGTTAGGTTCTTCAAGAGTGATAGGATAAAAGCCACTAGGTTTTTTGAGGATTTAAATCACTATCTCTCAGTCCTAGTGTTTCATTCCATGTTCATCTGAATATCTGACTTTTTCTGGTATTATCAGCCAGTTGCAAGTTAGCAATGACTTGAAAAAATAGTGTAAGATTTATTGAAGTCCCATTTTAATCTGGTAAAGTAGAAACCTATACACAGAGCTTGCTTCTGAGTGATTATTCTTAAATTTGTTGTCTATTACANTGTGTGTATAATGTATATATAATGTATATCTGTGTATGTATACACACAAACATACATATATGTATATATAACATAAATATTTTAGAAACCCATGCAATGGATTTCAATATATAACTTTTGTAGAGTCCTGCATGAAATAAGCTACTCACTGAAGAAAGTTGATGAGAGCTATTTATCCACTGGCTCTAGCACTTCAAGGTAAGAACGGACAGTTATTTGTTCTTTTGTCAGTTATAGCTGCCAGGTTCAATTGCTCCCTATATGGATTTCCCTTATTATTTCAAGTTCCCCTTTTCATCAATCTTTCCAGTAGTTGGGCAGATTGATAGCAGTCATAAGTACTGTCATTTCACTATTCTTGTTGTCCTTAAATCAAGCGCATTCAACCCGCGGCTCAACAACTGCAGGTGGCCCTGGACAGCTAGTAATGTAGCCTCACAAAATAAAGATATCAGATACACACTAACTATATTTTGTATTTTATAGGCAGCCCAATACAATCCCTCTTCATTCAATGTAGTCCAGGCAAGCCAAAAAGTTGGGACACCTGTGCCTTAGATAGAAAATCAGAAATTAAAACTGTTAAGTTCTAGTCCAATGGAGCAAAGCAAACCATTTCAAGATGTGTTCTCTTAAAGTACAGCCAACTTTGAATTTTCAAATGCAGCATTAATAGATTCAAATTGAAGCAAAAGGAATGTTTACACATTTTCTACATACCTATAAATGAAAAGCTAACAACACGACATTGCGTTTGATTAAAAAGTTACAACTTACTTCCATTGTTTCCAACCACAAAATTGACATTAGATCCAAACTTGAATGGTCCCAACATGGAGTGGCACATAAAGTTCTTCAGCTGAATACTTTCAATTATCCCAACGTCCCCTGTGACCTAGGAGTACATCAGAAAGACATTTTAATTGCTAAAAAAAAAAAAATCCTGATCACAAATTTCTTCTACACAAACTGAGAAAGCCCCAAAACCTCACAATGCTGAGAGTACAATGCTTGAGCCTCCTTTCTCACCGCCAAACCGCTTGAGGAAGGCTTCAGAGATGAAAAAGGAAGAGCAAGCAAAGAAACAGGCTGAAGAGGAGACAGCTCTTCATCATGTAAGTGACCTGGCGTGGCAGGATGGGGGGGGGGGGCAATTGGAGAGACCCCATGGGAGGGAGTGTGAGGTATCTGTGGATCGGGGGAGGCCTTGGGTGGTCTGAAGCTGGTGACATGCTCGATCACTAGCCCCCAACCCTAAAATACCTCATGTGCACTTAACAAGCCTCACATTCGATTAGCGAATGAGTGGGTGAAAGGGAGTGATCACGTTCAAGGTACAAGAATCCTCGGGTTACAAATGGAATGGGCAGGTTCCATTCCATTCGTAACTCGAGGACTACCTGTGTATATGGTTACAAAACTTGACCTTTTATATGTAACTCTCAAACATTACAGAGAGATTACAGCTTTCTAACTTTCCTTTTACCTGACTCTGTAATCTTCAACGTTTTTACATTTTTTGAGAAGAAATATTGTATGTCAAAGTCTAAAAACATATTATTTTATATGGCCCTTTCTCAGATTCCTTTTTAATGTCAGTGTGCAAAATGAGAGGCTCCACAATAAAAGCCTTCACTATAACTCTAAAGGTATTTTATAAAATTGTTGAAATTTACATGTGAGATAATTAGATCTAGTGGTTAAGGCTTGAAACCAAGAGACTGTGAGTCTCTTAAGCAGAAAAATTGGCTTATTGACTTTGGACCAGTCACTTTACCTAAGCCCATGATATCAGGGTCTGGCGAGTCAGTTATCTGAAAAAAAAAGCAGACCCTGCTACTTGTGACAAAATGCCAGGAAGAGAGAAATGAAGTTTTTTTTAATGAAGATTTAATATGAAAAAGGGGGAAATGAAATGCATAGAGTAATCACCAGGACATTTAACTTAATAAAATGTAGTTTTTATTTTGCCTTGCTGCCTCCATGTTCAGAGTGCAACTCCCAGCATGGCATTCAAACACCAATTAATGCACACTATCCAAAATTCAGTTTAGTCTAGGTTCCTGGTTAAAATGTAATGCAGACAGTCAAGGCTAAAACCAAAGTTAAAAAAAAAACAATGGCATTAAATGCCAGCAGTTGAATCCTGGCATTTAATGCCATCGACTGTCATTTTTCCCAGTTCAGCTTATACCTAATTAAAACAAAGTGGTTATTTTGCACATGCACAGACACCCAACATTGGATTCAAGCAGCAAGTCACAGAGCCTGCTCTTTGACACCGTCATAATGCATATTTCTGTCATTTTGCCCAATGCCTGTGATCATATGGCTAACAGTGAGTTATATTTAGGATTTTAGTTCAGCATCTGGAGGATCACAAGCTACTCACTGCTGAATCAAAATGTATAAAAAATTGAAAGAGATGATTAATTTGATGCCTAGTCACTTCATCAACTGGGCTTTTTTATGCTTGTTTGAGACTGTTGTGTCATTTTTCCTTTCAAGATAATTTCAAAATTACATTTTTGCACTTATAGCTTACCAACTGCGAATCGGAATTAAAGTCATTCATTAGCTGTGAGCATTCTTCACTAAGGTCTTCTTCATCAGAGCTATCAAGGAAATCTTGCCTAGCTCTTTTGCGGGATACTGGTGTTGAAAAACGGCCTTCTTTTCTTTTTGCCATAACTAAAAAGCAAACATTGAATAAAAGTTATCTCACTTCATGGACAACTGTAAAAAAATGCCATCAGAATGCAGCTAAAATTAATACCATTCATCTCACAAGTTTAAGAACTGGTATATAAATGCTGAATTAAAATTAAAGGTTCCCTGTAATATTTAATTCTGGCTGTATAATTCCCAGTGAGGGAAATATCAGGAATTATTCTGAAACAAGAGAGATACACTTTAATTACATTTTGTTAAACAAAAATGTCATAAATTCAAAGAAAAAATAATCTTTAAAACAATCAAAGAACTATGAATTGGTATAGCAATAGCACTTACATACCGCTTCACAGTGCTTTACAGCCCCCTCTAAGTGGTTTACAGAGTCAGCCTACTTCCCCCAACAATCTGAGTCCTCATTTTACTGACTTTGGAAAGATGTGGTAGCATCCCCCAAGTGGTGAATTCATTTTTCTCAAGAGAATCACTCCTGAAATCTGGCAGTAAATAATTCAATCTCAGCAGCGTAATTTCAAATAATTTTCTTCAGATTTTGGAGGTAAGACCACCAGTATCTAACTCAGATTCTCACCTATAAAATGCATTTAAATACACATAACAACAATTTTAGTAAGGGATTGACTATTTTTATTAAAATAATGGAAATGGGGAGTACTCTGCCTCCAATGTGCCTTTTATTCCTGTTAAAATCTTCTAAAATAAAATAAAAATTTTTGAAAACAGCCAACTAGTGTCAGCCATACCACTTTTGTTGATATTATTAGGTAACCTGTAGCCCTCCAGGATTTCATAAAGCTATGTTTGGTACCCAGCCCCTCAGAACTGTCTGCAACTTCCATAGTAAAGTTTCATTTTCAATATCTGAAAACTATATATTTTTTATAATATGAAAATGTCTCACACCAATCATAATTCCATTCTCAATTTATCTAATTTCCTGAATTAAATGGTTTAAAGCAGCTTTATTTCTCAGTCTCTTGGGGTTTGGGATATGATAATTTTTAAATTTAAATTGGCTTCCTTTTTTATTTTTCTAGTAAGTTTCTTTTAGTTTCTTTTATAAAGATACAGGTTTATCTTTTTGTTGAACATAATCCTTAAAATGGACCATGGGATGATTACTTCTAATAACTAAAGATTGATAGAAAAACCCATTAGAAATTAAGTTTTTTTCAAGTTGATTTCAACTCCTGTGATTTCACGAGTATTTCTATATAGTTTTCTGAACAAAGATCAAAAGCAAACTGCATATTTTCACAACTTTCCTGTCTAGTCTTACAGCACTAGTTCTCCTAGTACTCCTTAGTAATTTCCCCCCCAAGTATTAACTCTCCCCAACCCTGATTTAACTTCCAACGTCAATATTTTCAGTTGGGCATGGCCCAGTGGTGAAATTCAATTTTTTTAAATTCAATTTTTTTACTACCAGTTCTGGGGTCATGGCAGGGGAAAGATACTGCAAAATTCCCCTTCCCTCCCCACTCCTGGGGGAAGGATACAGCAAAATCTACATTCCCTCCCCACTATGGGGCCAGCCAGAGGTGGTATTTGCTAGTTCTCCAAACTACTCAAAATTTCTGCTACTGGTTCTCCAGAACCTGTCAGAACCTGCTGAATTTCACCCCTGGCATGATCATCTGCTAAGGGTCCTATAAATGCCATTAAATGCTTATATTATTATATTATGGCAGTGTCTAAACACACCGCCCTTATTACAATAAATGAAACTATTGGAAACCTGACATTATACTGCTTTTTTGTCATTTTGCTCGGTCCTTTCTAAGTTTAGGCAATTCCCCACCTCGGAATGTCTCAAAAAGGCATTAGAGGCTTTACCAGGAAGGGCCAAAGTACCTTAATCCTTTTTAGGTTTAGGTTTATTAGATTTATATGGCGCCCTTCTCCCAAGGACTCAGGGCGGCGTACAACATTAAAAGAAACGCATAATACAAAAAAGCAGTATAATNAAAAAACATTCTGACACAATCTGGTCGTACCAACCCCCACCCCACCCCGCCTTCCATATACATTATTTATATCATATACAAGGTATAATAAATTAATATCTACATGCAACATATAGAAAGGAACGTACACTGTAAAAATACAATATTTTTCAGCTTGTTTTGTTTTTTAAGTTTTTTTTTTTACAGGTTTTAATTTACATTTTTACACTTTTTTGTAAACGGGTTTTTTTTTCCTTTATAAAAATCAGATCACACCACACGCTATCAAACATTCACCTCTGCCTACATGAGAAAAAACACACAAAGGATCCTAACTTTTATTGCCGCTTCATTTCAACCACAGCATTTGCCTTCACATTATTAATACAGACTAAATGACTTCTTTTGCTTACTCTGCATATATTTGAAGGAACTTAAAGTAAAACAATCATAAAAGTCTGTGTTTTAAGGGGGAGGAAAAAGGCAAGCAATTAAATGCAATGACAACCGTTTAATCAACTTCACATTTATCAAAACTTCTCCATTATCAACTGCCTTTCCACTAACCATTTTCACTTAAGCATGCAAAAGTTAATGATTATAGATTTACTTAATAACAAGGTAAAAGAAATACTGAAATAAGCTAACGGGAGGGACAGTGGGCTTTATACTGAAATCCAGTACTTTCTAAATTTTAATAGTATGGTTTATTTTATTTTATTAAAATAACAGTAACACTAAGGTTTGCTAAAAACATTTTGTTTCCTAATTTGAGGATTTGAAAGCTCATCTTTAGAAATCTTAAACACTAAAATATGCTTCAGCACATCGATGTGGATTGGTTTTGCGTTTTTTAAAAACAAAGCAGCTTATTTATTTCTATTTTTTAAAAAAACCACCAGCATTTGTGATTAAAACAAGCCTCCTGAAACCAAAGTATTTCTCCAGGAATACTTTCTTTAAAATAAAACATAACCCCCCCCCCAAAAAAAAATATTTAAAATCTTTTCAGAAAAGAAATTCATATACGTTCTCTGCAATTTTGTCTATCCACCAAAAATGCTCAGATTCAATCTTTTTTTTTTTTTTCAGCAGAAAATTTTCAGCACATGGCCGAGCTTTGAAGCTCTCTCTTGTGATCTGGGTGGCAAATCTGTGCTCCTCCTGTGATCATTTTCTCGCCGAGAAGAAAGGTTTGAAATGGTTCATTTGATCCCTTCATGCCACATCAGACTTATCATCATACAAAGGTAAAAAAAAGCACAATACGTATTTTGAGTACTCCATGAGATCTTGTACCAAAAGTACAAGGGATGCTAAGATCAGCTTTTGTTTTTTCCTCCCAACCAGCGGCGTCGATTTCGACCCCCAGAATTCTCAGCTGCAACAACAGTGGGGGTTCTTGGGTGGGGGGTGTTGGACGATTCTGGGGGTGGAAATCGGCCCTTGGAAGGCACCCCAAGTTGGGAGAGGGCTGGTTCAGATACTTATTGCCTAAAAATACTACGATGCGCTTAAGAGCTCAGCCTAGGAGACGGAGTCGAAGGAAAGAGCCTGCCACTTGGATTTTGGTTTGAGGTCGAAAAAGAAGGCGCCCCCTCCGTCGCTGGAAGGAGAGCTGCTGAGGCTTTCTTCTCCGCAGCTCATGTCTTCACAGGAGTCCTCACTGCGGAAGAAAACAGGGAGGCTAATTAGCAATCGCGAAGAAAGGTTGAAAAAAAAAAGAGTAACCAGGTATAGTACAGGCAGTTGTCGACTTAAGAGCAGTTCNTGTGATGACGTCACATACGCGATTTCGTCGACCGCGCTTTTGTGGAACGCGGTTTTGATGGGTCACGCTACTGGAGCAAGTAGGAAAAGATGGGAGGTTCAGCACACCTGGATTTTGTGTTCCACCTCTGGAACCTGTATGTGCCTCCCCTCCCTGGGTACTGAGATTGAGGCAAAAGAGCAAAGCAGGTGTCAGGATTCGTGCCTGCAGCCGTTCAGATAGCCATTCGGCGTGCCGTATATATATATATTCCAGTTAGGAAGTGGCTCAACTAGTTATTAGCTGCGTAGGAAAGATTGTGAGAACAATAATTGTAGCTCTGGGCTTTCATTTCTCCTTTCAGCTACATTCCTGATCCCTGAGCCCTGGACTAGTCACTGGCCTCTGGCCCGTAAAAACTGGAACTTCCATGGAGGGTGGCAGTCTACCTCTGAAATAGCAGTTGCCAGGAATAAGCCGGAAGAGAGAGCTCGTTGATGGCTTTCCGGGGACGGGGGACAACGGCAGCTGCAGGGGGAGGGGGCGGGTGGGTAAATGAGTTTAAATTTTCACCCCTGGTGGTGCAGTGGCAGGCGGTGTGCCAGCCTCGTTGTGGACTGGTAATTTGTGCTCCTTTGCAGCTCGGCCCCGGGGCACTCAAAACGTTTGGGACTATTGATAATGTAGAGTTTATGATTAAGGTATAAAACAAAGGTGAAAATGAAAGCAGGAAAAAGGGAAGGGATGCAGGATAAGAAGAAACACGTAGCAAAACAATGCAGGGATATTATTATTTTTTTTACTCTATTCGGGTGCAGTAAAACACAGATCCATCCTCAGCTTCTTGCCTTACATTTGCAGGAAATAGAAGCCGTTTCTATAATAGCCAAGTTAATCTAGTCCTCCAAAACCTAAAATCAAATTTTAATTTTGTTTTCTCTTTCGAGCATAAAGTCCAGAAGCGGTTTTTCAAATGGAAACAAAACTAGATAACGCCTTCTCTTTAATTAAACAATTAACTCTGCCCGCTCTGAAAAAACGCCATCGCTTTTCCCATCCATTCTTCCATTCTCTCCATTTCTACTGGTCTAAAATTCTTGGCAGCTGTCAACATCGATGAGAACCAAGTTCCAGATTTCGGACCGTTTGATGATCTGTTTGAATTGGATTGAATATGTCAGTTTTGTAACTCCCAGGTCCTTGGTGCGCTCTGAGCTTGGCTGTTTTCGTGCACGCATTTCATGACCCAACTAGATAATAATTGGTGCTAGAAGGGAGTGGGGTTTGTGGAGAGGAAGAGGAGGGGAAGGAGAAGGAG